TTCCCAGACGATCCGCAATATGTCTAAAAACAAAAGAAAACGTGTTTACTTTCTGCACTATGAAGTTTTGCAAGAAAAGATAGACTAGGGCCAGAGCCTGCTTCAGTATATAAGCCACAATTCGACAGTACTGCTGGAAAGTTGTTGCTGAGATTTAACATAGCTCAAAGTCGCCAAGTCCTAAACAGTAGATTGAAGCTTCCAGGTCAACTTTGGAAGTGCTGACATGGCGAGATGTGAAAGTGTAGGAGAAAGCAGTAATGTAAGTTGAAGGTGAGAGTGAGATAAGAAGTTTCGGTCCATTAAGCCATAGACGTCTTAACACTGCGATACCTAAATTTTATTCGCTGTCTGCACTAATATGGCCGATCATTACTGCCATATAGAACTCTCTGAATGAGTGTTTTCTTCCAATTAAAATTTTCGCTGAATTAAAACCACAAGGAGAGCTAGTCAGGTAGCGAAAATGAATGATAACAAATGCACCCAATCGGGCAGTAGTATCACAGCCACCGTAATGACGACGTCCAGTCTTGGCGCTTAAACCAAATGTATATGAATTGAAGGACCGAAACATTCCTGTTCAGCTGTTTTATAACAGTTTGATGATATTTTCCTAAATGTTAGTTAAAAATACCTTTAAAAGATTATGTTAATGAGGAAATCGCAGGTAGGATAGAAGGGCCCATTTGAGGACTATCAGCGACCTCAAAGTCAAAGTGCTAACGTAGCTTGTTGCAACGATGGCAAAGGAAACATGGCGGTAGATAAAACAATATATGCTAAGAGTACTGAAGTAAAATAAACAGCAAAAAAATACCGATATGAGGGATGTGATATGAAAAATTTGCGCTCGGCATCCAAAGCTGCTCGAATATCTTTTTTTCCAACAATATCTTTCTGTCCGCGATTTACCACTCCGACGTAACCTGTAAGCAACACCTGGACTAAAACAAAGCAGCACTGAGTAATGCAATTCCGTCCAGACAGAGACTGATCTCATGCACGTCGGCTCGACCACCGCACTGTCAAGGCCCAGGGTTCAGGGCCCCGTGCCCTTTGTTCCAAAACCAAATTTCGCCAAAAGAACCACTCCTCATCGTTCAGTTTATCTCATTTGAGGATTGCTTCAAAGGAATGCAGTGCCGCTCTTCACTTTCCCCAACACTCTCCGCTCGCCATGGACACTTCTCGACGAAACATGCCAAACTTCAGCACCACCACGGAGGGGAGCCGGTAAATGAGTTAATAATGCTGTGCTGACCTCTTCGCAGTGGAAATAAACGATTCTCAAGGATATCACGAGCATCGGTGCCCTCATCCATGAGATCCAGCTTTGTTAGTACCCCGATCGTTCTCAGTCCCTGTGGATCAACCTGAAATTGCAAAAATTTTCTCTTCGGCCATGCGTGAATTGCAAAAGCATGTACATCCATCTAAGCTTTTAGCTATGCATGAACGAAAATCCCCAGTTGCTCAAATTTCAGTAAAGCCACAAAAAAAGTAAATAGATGTAGTCTGTCCGGGCAGATAACTGGGTGAATGCGGGAAAAGCATGCGCCTTTGAAAGAAATGACATCAAAAACATTTAATTCACAAGTGCAATTGGAAATTTTTCGAACAAAGACTAGTTGTACGCTTCAGGAGTCACGAAAAAAATAAAAAAAAAAGCATTTTCCGCTTTGGCTTGGGAGGTCCATGCTATTGATGAATAGGCGATCGGTTCCTCTCACAACAGTTTAGTTTTGAAAGCATTGCATCTCACCGTCCTTGCTCGTATCCAGGACGA